GGATGGCGCTGATTTCAAGATAAAACAAAATTCCTAAAATATCTTGAGCGAGCCTGTATACAATGCATGTATTTGGGCGTACACCCATATCCATAGAGATAGTTACGCTGACAACCGTATTCATATATAGTGGGGAGGGGGGTAGCATATTTTGTATTTAGGCATGCAAGCGCACTTTATGATTAACATAAATGTCATTATACACCATAGGTGGATCTGATAGACCATCTAGTGGGTTCAAACGTTTCTTTACAAAAAAAAGTGGTGACAGTAAACAATCCAAACAAAAGAAGAAAAAGAAGGATAAACGCGGTAAAGGCAAGTTTTCTGATGGCGAATCTGTAAAAGACGTCAAACCAGGTATGTTTGATTATGTATAGTCATGTTGTATATTCAAAATACTTTTATAGATCTGCAATCGTACACAAAGATACCTTCTCTCTTCTGTAAGAATATTCATATCTGGCAGACTAGTTATCTTTATTTTTAATGAATGTTTTTGGTCAAAAATGTTATTCTTGTCCGCTTCTTGGAAACCTCTAATCCAATTGCTTTGGTATTTGGAATATGTGTACCTTTATTGGATTAGGACCTATATTAGATTTGAATATTTTGTGACAATAACTTCTATTCTGTGATTTTAGTGAATATTTTTCCTTTATTTTGATGACTATTCTTTTGATTGAAGTGATACTCTATTAGATTAGTTCATTCTGTGACATTAGGGGGAACACTCTACTAATTCAGACATATCCTATAACCGGAGTTGATGAATCCAAAACTTATCGGTGATAAGATCTAAACTCAGGAGTAGCAATATTTAGATAGAATGTTTTGATGACGACCCTCTATAAAGACAGCGAAGACTGGGTGCTTTTGTAGCTGCAATATACTTGTCCATATACGTCTAAAACGTTCACCTTTCACTATATATTAGGATTCAGTTGACTGACACGTTATGTAGGTCAAAAGTTGCTGAAACCTATTTTTCCATTACCCGTGCTGTTGATTTAATAATTACTATAGACATGTCGACAACCATTTAACCTCTAATTCCTATTAAACATAACAGAGAACCGGACACGTCGCTTAACTGCATTATCTGCAACCCTCGGTGCTATATTCCCTATCAAGTACCACACTTTTGCTGACATACATCTTCTTTAAATGGCATCTTTGTTGTATTTGATTGTACAGATGCATCGTTTCTGAAGACTCTACGACAAGACTGCCTTAAAGCACATAACAAATTACGATCTAAACATAGGGCACCGTCCATGAAATTGGACAATGCTTTGAATAAACAAGCTCAAGACTGGGCTGAACAGATAGCGAAATCTGACCGCTTTGGACATCGTCCAAACAACAAATATGGAGAAAATATTTATTATGCGATGAACTCAAGAGGATTGGGAACGTTAACAGGTAATGGGTAATTAGCATTGGAATTGACACCTTACTTGTTGCAATGCATTTGTTGACATAAATATTTTTTAATTATTTTCCAGAATTCAAAATGACGTCAATATTATTTTGGGTTGCATAATACTAAGAACAATCTACAAATCGCTCCCACAGGGGGTAAAATCCGCCCTGTGATAATAATCTTACAAAACAGCGCGTCCATTGTGGTAATTTGTTCATGTACCTGTCTAACAGTTGTATAATTTTCACTGGCAGGCGAAGGTGTAGTACAGTCATGGTATGATGAGATCAAAAAATACAATTTTAAGAGTGGCGGTTTCAGTTCTGGTACAGGTAAGTGATAACTGTTTCTTACACTTGTTATGTTTCTTCCACAAAAAACAAAAATGACATCTGGGTATGTGGAGATTCATGGAAAGAAAAGTTTCTTAATATGTTTTCGACGGCATTCAATACATTTATATTTATGTACATGTTCGTGACAGTAAATTAATGTAGCTCCCAAGCCAAAGCAAAATGTTAATGTTCAAACTCATTTAAGCCAATTTTAAAAATATACAGCAAATTTGGACGTGAACTTTTATTTAGGTTTCAATATATTAAAACAAACTATACATAACAAATGTTTTGTAAAGATTGAATAGTCGTGTGTATAGAAGCACGTTCGGTTTCCATAGAGATAAGAATTTTGTTTTTGCTTCTCATCTATTCTTACCCATTGTTTTATGTTAGGTCACTTTACACAAGTTGTATGGAAGGCGTCAACTGGACTGGGTATCGGTTTCGCACCAAGTAAAAATAAAGCCAACACATGGTATGTGGTGGCTAATTACAACCCTGCCGGTAATGTACAAGGACAGTATCAGAAGAACGTATCAGCCAAGTAAATAACACAAAATTATGACGCATAAAACGATTGGATTATGGAGTATTACTGATCAACTATTTTGCACAAGGGTACTGGGATTATGGTCAGACAATGCACAAATGTTCTCAACTTTGTAGTAACGGTACGTTAGATCATTCACAGATAAACGATATGTGATCCCGTATTTTGTCACTTTTATTTAGATATTTAGCATCAAGTATTTAGATCAGAATAAAACGCCGGGTCTGTGTCATTCAATGTTTTATTTGATCGCACTTTGCACAATTACGAATGTTCGAGCGAAGACACTGCAGACCTATAGTATGGATGCTGATATATCTGGCCGTTGAAGACTTCTTAAAACTGCCGAGAGGGTTGATTTGTTTTTTGTGTGCAGCCTATAACAGTGCATATCTTCTGACTAATTTCTATCAACCTTTTGTTATATTAATATTTACATACTTTGTTTACTTATAATAGTCCATTAGCATTTCTTTTAGCGAACTGAGAAAAATAATATTAACATTTTAGAAAAAAAGAACGACATACAAAACTGCAGAATATGAAATATGTCACTTTCCTTTGTGTATTCATAACTACGCCATTAACGAGCTATTATCATATTTTGAAACGAAACAACAAACAAACATACAAATCAATTTAACCACATACACTAGACGCTAGTGTCTTTAATTAACGCATTTAATTTCATCAGGAAAGAATTTCAAGTATTAGTGCCATATTTACAAGTATTTGTACTTTGAAAATTAAACACATAATCAAATAAATAAAACTCTATTTTAAATGGTAACTGGCTTCAATAACTCAATTATTTTTTAAGCGTTTTGTACTAGTATATAGGAGTACAGCGCATTAAGTATAGCGTACGGATACCACATCCAGTACAGGACGATGCAATGATTTTATATAACAAGTCTCGTTCAGTCAAGCCACCTGATAATTTAGTAGTAATGCGGTCGTAGTAATTCCAGAAGTTGTGTCATGTGACCGCAGTGAATCTTCCTCTTCATATTGCGTACCTTGGTGCAAAAAATTTATATGGGTGAGCGATGTGTCTACCAATGCCAATCGGGGATTTCAGATGTGTGGTAATGGTCCGCCAACTAAGTGTTGAAAGAAATGATCATAATCAATCTAACTACTGTGTAACTTTCACTGCCTCTCATCATTTGAAACAAGGAAAACGATTGATTGTAACTGTGCTATGCGGAAACTGATTTATACATCCACGTCACCGAGACATCAGGACATTGCAAATTCAGACATATTATCCTAAATGAGCATTCCAACCCGGCTTTCCCCCGTTTTATATACTAGCAAGTAAACAAGATGGTGTGGGCTGTATCTTAGTGAGTATGTGCGGACATTTACTAAATATTCAAGAATACACATGAATCACCCTAAATCTAATCATAGAAGACGGATAATTGTACTATAATAATCTAAAACTTACTAGAGATCGGAGACTGTACGAAACAACACACTACGAACTAAGCCAGGGGAACCGAGTTTATCAAAGTGTTGATAAAATAATTAGTTATAGAAACTGTTGCTGAACTGAGTCTTATATTGAATATTGGTGATATAAGAGATTATGTTGTGCGAGTTCAGAAAATACACATTTGGCAACAAAGATTTGTTTTATTTATTGTTTTACTTATCGGAGTAGAACATGGCTTTAGCAATACCTCGAATCCTTCTAATGCTTTTATAAACAAAATACATAATTGAGTCTTAAGAATACCGCTCTCAATGGGCTAACGTTTGTATATATTGTCGTTGAGGAATTTGATATGGATATGTTTATTTCGGAAAAAAAACATTTTTCCAGTCATTAAACAAAATGAAGATATAGTTTCAAATGCTAAATGCGTTAAATTTTGACCCAAAATAATAACTACTGCTGATGGACCCATAAAATGATGTGACCAATCAAAATACTGCACATCATATGTTGCTTAGAATTTAAATAATTAGCCTGACACTTCGAATATACGCTCATATTATCATTATATGAGCCACCGTGTTATGCTGATATGAAAAAAATAATCCCACAACTGTGTCGTATTCTATTTTCCTGTGTTTAAAGTTACAGAAACATACTCAACCATACTCAAATGTCATATTGTTACCATGGTAACAATTACTGTGTGTGCAGTAGCTGGCAGGGAGTAGCTTGTTTGGTCATTAAACTTGAATTCATCTCTGAAAAAAATTACCAGTCCATAGTTCGTCACCATACACTTATTTATTACGTTTTAACATTTAAAACCAACAATAGTCTTGCTATTTTAACATATTAAAACATATTTTGTATAAAGTTTGCGATGAACGCTAGCACTTTTAGCATGCGTTGAACAATGTTGGTCACTTATATATTGTATCGTGTTCAAAGAATTTGTCACTTAAATGATATGTAATGTATCACGTGACCTAAATACATAATATGCATAAGCGCCATGTCATTACACAAAGGGGGTGGTGGTAAAGATTGGCTTGCATACCTCTTGTCGCGAATGCTGAGTCAACGCGTGTAAAGTTGTATACAATTTGCTAACATTGTATCTCCCACTATCTGATGCATTGAGAATTAGCCCAAAAGCGGCAAACCTCTTCGAAAGACATGTGATGCAGTCTTTCTTGAAATTGTACTATAAATTTAATTAACGTATTTGTGACAAATGTAGATCTAATATAAACGTATGTGACATATATTTGATCACACACAGAAATGAACAATGACAGCATTCCACTCATGTGCAGGCAAATCTAGCACAAGATGACAATAACATTAACAATAACCTAATTACAAACACGTGTGGTTTCAGTGACGTTATAATTAATTGACAAGCGCAGTTACTGCAATGTCCTTAAAAGTACAAGCATGAATTGGAATGGCTCATGGCAAGACCGCGTACCTCCATACAAGGTCTCGTACCTCCATACAAACACTCCCAACACACATCACGTATCTCATACAATTACTCCCAATACAGTTTACGTATCTCATACATAAACTCCCAATACTATTTACGTATCTCATACAATTACTCCCAATACAGTTTACGTATCTCATACATATACTCTCAATACAGTTTACGTATCTCATACAGACACTTTCAATACGATTTACGTATCTCGTACATAAACTCTCAATACTATTTACGTATCTCATACAATTACTCCTAATACAGTTTACGTATCTCCTACAGATACTCTCAATACTATTTACGTATCTCATACAATTACTTCCAATACAGTTTACGTATCTCATACATATACTACCAATACAGTTTACGTATCTCATACATATACTACCAATACAGTTTACGAATCTCGTACAATTACTTCCAATACAGTTTACGTATCTCCTACAGATACTCTCAATACAGTTTACGTATCTCATACAGATACTCTCAATACAATTTACGTATCTCATACCGATACTCCCAATACAGTTTACGTATTTCATACAGATACTCCCAAAATACTCCCGTGTTTCTCATACGATTACTCTCAATACATGTCTCGTATCTCATGCGGATACTACCGATTCAGGTCTTGTACCCACTGCCAATACTGCCAATTACTTGTCATCTATTTCTCAGTGGTATAAGATGTTTTCTGAATAGCAAAATCCATGATAGTGAAACAACAAAACAGCAGTGTACAGAATACATAGTACTGGTTGTGTAACGCCGACATAGGCACCTCTTGACACAAATCCACATGTAAATATACGTGTATAAGTTGTCTATGCTACAATGTCACATACCTTCTGTTACTACATTGTCATGTACAGTGTTACCTGTATGTTATTACTTTAATATCTATAACAACATCGCATGTGCATGAACAAATTACACCATTTTGTTTTGAAACTTCAAATGTATGCATGAAAAGAAACTGTAGTGAATTGGTCTTGCAAATAACAAGGCATAATGGTAAATAAACCATGTGATCAAGTACATTGTAACAACAACTAATTTAAAATGAACTGACATTATCACATGAGCTTGGTGGCAGCGGTTATTTGGTTAAACAAAAAATGTTTTTCGTTCTATAATATAATCGTGTATTATTTCATAAAACGAGTACACTTAGTATTTTGTGTTGAACCAAGATAAGTGTGTATTGCATCATAACCCAGTGTGCACTTGCTATATTAAATGACTGTGATAAGAATTATCAGTTTTAATGTTTTTCATGTAAAAGTAAAATGTTGGGTATCTTACATTCTATTTGTGCTCGTTTTTTCCCCGATCATTTTACCTTATTGATTGTGGTTAGCCTTTATTTATTCGGATATAACATTAGACAGTTATACAACAGTAATGTTTTTTCTGTGTATTACTTGTATGTAATATGACACTATATTAACCACTTGGTGTGTTACCATACTCCAATGAAGACTTCTAGCGTTGTAGTTGGACAGACTCTATTTTCTACTACTTAATATGACAGTTAAGTGGTAAGCGCAGTATATGCAGTCAGTGATATCGGTTACAATAGATTCTTAATTGAACTTGATAACCAGCCAGGCATGTATATGCACTGTTATACCAGTTATACGTAGCAGTGGATGCAATAGGTAATTCAAAATCAGAGTTTCATATCATAAACCGATGCCAAGTGCGGCTGTATGTTTTCGAGCTTTTAGACGGAGATCGGCAATGCTGGAACTTTTAGCAGTTTTCGCGGTGTCAAGAAGTGTCGCCATAGTGACCGGGAATGCTGGGTGTTGAAACATCATCATCGAGTGTGCTGGCGTGACGAACGTGGGAGCTGAAGCAGCTGTTACCATGGTATTAGCAGTACTTCCATTCAAATGTAAATGTGCCTGGATTCGGTCAAATGGCATGCGTACTGCTCCCATATTGACGTAGGGGGCAACCCGACAAGTATCCAC